CAGTCAGCAGATTTTTACAATTTTGGCGCTAGTAATTTTCCTGTGAAAATCCTTATAAAAAGTGCTTCAAAATCGTCTTTTTGTCGCTTTGGCGTCGAGATCCGGTTTTGGAGCTGCAATTCCTGTTGTGATTATGTACAAGAAAGCTTCTCTGTGTAAAAACATTGTTACCTGTAAAAGCTTGCTGTGTGTAAAAGATTTTGTGTTCAAAAGCTTGCTGTGTGTAAAAGCTTCCCTGTGTGTAAATGCGTCTCTGTGTAAAAGTTTCTGTCTGTGTACACGCTTGCCATATGTAACAGCACTGTGTGTAAGTGTTCTGTGTGTAAACGCTTGTGTGTGTGAAAGCTTGCTGTGTGTAAAAGCTTCTCTGTGTAAAAGCTTGTTGTGTGTAAAAGCATCTGTGTGTAAAAGCTTCTCTGTTTAAAAAGCTTGCTGTGTGTGTGTGTGTGTGACACATCTGTACAGATGTAAAACTTCTATTAATATACATCTATAAGCGGGGGGTCACCGGGGTCCCTGGGAGGTCGGTGACCAACGAAGACACCTCCCGGGGACCCGTGTAAACGTACCCGCGGGACTGTGGTGACGCACCTGGGCGCAATTGTAAGACGCAGCTGGTGGTCACCATAGTCCCATATATATATATACTCATCCTTATCTTAGTAACTATTCTAATATGCATGTCACAGGACTCAGTTCCTGCCGGATCATATAATGATCCATTCTTGTCTAGTGTGATTCCTATGGTGACTCCGACATGGTGCCATAGGGCCAATTGAGGCAACCCTGTTTAGGGTGAATGTCGACTGACTTGAATTCCGAATTCACACATTTTAATCTGGTAATTCGTTTAAGTAAAGTGCAACAGCTGGCCTTACCGTTCTGCACCTTTGACGAAGTCCTGCGGCTCCTGTGGTCCCAGGGATTCCTCGCCTCAATGCCTGTCTACCAGAGCGAAGCCGTTCGGAACATTCAGAAACTATGTTTTTACTGCAGCTGACAGGATTCATGACACGCACAAATGAAGGCAACAGGCATGTCCTTTTCCTGCAGGTGTGGTCTCTTTGGTATTTGGTGAGGTGCACCTAATTCGCTGGAACTTGAAAGCCGTTTTATGCCAATTGGGGCAAGACTTGACCACGGTCCCGGTGCAGGGAATAATCGCACGACATCTAGGAAATTAGGAACTGAATCCTGTTTTTATTTTTTGTGGTTTCATCAACTAATCCCCATTGGTCCCCTATCTCATGCGTTCTTCCCTCCCCAGGTAGGTTGGCTCCGTCGCGTGCTGAGGTGTTTGTAGGTTTTCGCTGTGTCAGGTTGGTTCAAGCGCTTTCGTCCTTCCCCCCCCTCCGCTGGTCTTGTTCCGTGTCCGTCGACCCTCCGCTTTTCTTTTCCCTTGCCTTTCCAGGGTTTGCCCGCTCCGGGCCAGGTGTGTCGTGTTGGTGTTCTCTCCTTCTTCTTTTGCGTTCCCCTCTTCGCGTCCTGGTTAAGTAAGTTTTCATCTCATCTTCAAGGTCACCTCACCTTCACTTCCCCCTCATCTTCATCTTCACCTCATCTTCCGTCGCACTACCCTGCCAAAGGCAGGGTGTGTGTGTGACACATCTGTACAGATGTAAAACTTCTATTGATATACATCTATAAGCGGGGGGTCACCGGGGTCCCTGTGAGGTCGGTGACCAACGAAGACACCTCCCGGGGACCCGTGTAAACGTACCCGCGGGACTGTGGTGACGCACCTGGGCGCAATTGTAAGACGCAGCTGGTGGTCACCATAGTCCCATATATATATACTCATCCTTATCTTAGTAACTATTCTAATATGCATGTCACAGAACTCAGTTCCTGCCGGATCATATAATGATCCATTCTTGTCTAGTGTGTGTAAACGCTTGCCATGTGTAAAAGCACTGTGTGTAAGTGTTCTGTGTGTAAACGCTTGCTGTGTGTGAAAACTTGCTGTGTGTAAAAGATTTTTGTGTGTAAAAGCTTGCCATGTGTAAAAGCTTCTCTGTGTGTAAAAGCTTATCTGTTTAAAAAGCTTGCTGTGTGTAAAAACTTCTCTGAGAAAGAACTTGCTGTGTGTAAAAGCTTTCTTTGTGCCAACTTTGTATCACAAAGTAGTACTGGGACGTACATTGTGCAAGCTTTGTAGTACAAAGTAGTACTGGGAAGTGCTTTGCGCAAGCTTCGTAGTGCAAAGTAGTACTGTTAAATACTTTGTGCAAGCTTTGTAGTACAAAGTAGTACTGGGACATACTTTGTGCAAGCTTTGTAGTACAAAGTAGTACTGGGAAGTACTTCTTGCAACCTTTGTAGTACAAAGTAGTACTGGGAAGTACTTTGTGCAAGCTTTGTACTACAAAGTAGTACTGGGAAGTACGTTTTGCAAGCTTTGCAGTACAAAGTAGTACTGGGAACTACTGGGAAGTGCTTTGTGCAAGCTTTGTAGTACAAAGTAGTGCTGGAACGTGCTTTGCGCAAGCTTTGTAGGACAAAGTCGTACTGGAACGTGCTTTGTGCAAGCTTTGTAGTACAAAGTAGTACTGGGAAGTGTTTGGCAAGGAGACACTGCTAGGAACCACAAAGAAATCCCATACGAATTCCCATAGTAATCCCATAGAAATGTCATAGAGACACCATGGAAATACCTTGGAAATCCCACAGGAATCCAATAGAAACCCCATAGAAATATCATAGAAACATCATAGGAATAGCATAGAAATCCCATAGGAATCCAATGGAAATCCCATAAGAATACCATAGAATTCCCATAGCATCCCTTCAGAAATCCCATAGAAATCCTCCAGAAATATCATAGAAACATCATGGAAATCCCAAAGGAATCCCATAGAAATCCAATAGTAATACCATAGAAATATCATAGAAGAAAAACGCTTTAGCAAATGAAAAGGCAAAGCAGCTGGACACAATAGTGAACCCCCCAAACAAACCATACTATTGTGGATCAGGGTTGCTCATGGACTACCTCCTTGAAAACTTCTTTGAGTGATGATTTGTTTTTTGGGTTTTAATAAGGCATCAAATAATATATTTTGGGAAATTGTGCATTTCTGAGAATTTTAAGTGAAAGAAACAGAGAAAGTAAAAGAAAAAACTTTAGCAAAGGAAAAGGTAAAGGGACTGTTTGAAAAAAATAACCTCAGGAAACAGCTGGACACAATAGTGGACCCCCCAAAACAAACATACTATTGTGAACCAGGGTTGCTCATGGACTACCCCCTTGAGAAATTGTTTGAGTGATGTTTTTAATTGGATTTTAATAAGGCACCATATATTTTGGGAAATTGTGCGTTTCTGAAAATTTCAAATGAAAGAAACTAAGAAAGTAAAAGAAAACAACTTTAGCAAAGGAAAAGGTAAAGGGATTGTTTGGAAAAAATAACTTCAGGAAGCAGCTGGACACAATAGTGGACCCCCCAAACAAACCATACTATTGTGGATCAGAGTGTAATTTCAAGTGAAAGGAAATTTCAAGTGATCAAGTGAAAGAAACTAAGAACGTAAAAGGAAAAAACTTTAGCAAAGGAAAAGTAAAAGGAATGTTGAAAAACATCACATACATCAGGAAGCAGCTGGACCTGGACACACTAGTGGACCCCCCACACACACAACAAACACACATTTTTTTTAATTAAAAAATAACTATATAGTTTTCAAAAATAAATAATATTTGTTTTGGTAATAATAAAAATTAAAATATTTTGTAAAAAATAAAAACAATAAAAAACAAAAAAATAAATTAATACAATTTAAATTAAATCTTTAAAAATTGATTCAAATTAAACAAAAGAACATTTTTTTTAAACAAAAAAAACTGAAAAAACTTACCCGAAAATCCTGGGGACACAATAGTGTACCAGGGCATCATTTCCATAGATTCACAGTTATTTTGGAGTCTGGGGACACAATAGTGTACCACCACACTAATCAGGAGCCAACATTATTGCATGTCTATGTAGAGAGATAAATATAAATATAAATATATATATATATATGTATATAGAATATATTTGTTCATGGATCAAAACACCGAAAATGGGATCATGATACTGACGGACAAATTTATGTACATACTACTTGGACATATTATCATTATATATATATAGATATAATCTGTTTTTATTTACACAATCACAAATATATTGTCCACCCAACAAACACCGACCTTCAAAACGGCCCATCCATTTTATGTCATTAGTTAAGAGATCCGTATGTGTGCTGCCAGGCAAAGCGTGTTCAACGACCTCAACCTGGGCAACGACGTCACATTAATTTCGTCTTTCAGACGACCTCACTTAATTTCATTTTAGATTATTGAAAATAAGGTACGACCCAAGAAATATTGTAAATCGGTCAAATGTATAGGCCTCCAGCACCCGACTGGCGAAGAATGGCGCAGAAAAGAATTACGTCATCATAGGATGATTTTTTTTGCAAGCTTGCATATACAAGAGAGAGTGGTTTTGTTTTACGAAAACCACTGGACATACGGCGGAGCAAGCATATATTTTTCATGTGCAGTAAGGGCCCTGACATAAGAGCCGTGGTGTGCAGAAACGCATGATGGCAAAGTCTTGGCACACCTGCATCACACATGCGGAACGCTTCTTCCCATCACACGCTCCAGTTGTATCCCATTTCAATGTCGTGTAGGACCGTAGGATAATGTATAATGGGCCTCCAGCACCGAACCAGCAAAGAATGGCGCAGAATAGAAGATCATCATAGGACGAATAATCTTACAATCTTGCAGGATTCCGCAGGCACATGGAAGGCCGAACAAACATATATTTTTCATGTGCAGTAGGGGCCCTGACACACGAGCCGTGGTGTGCAGAAACGCATGATGGCAAAGTCTTGGCGCACCTGCATCACACATGCGGCACGCTTCTTCCCCCTGTTGCAATCTTCTAAGCGCCAGCAACTGATGCTATGTGGCTGCAATTTTGGACCTTTGCTCAAATCCAGTCCTTTCACTGTGCGCGTGCCTGCTTCCACCTCACTTTGTGTTGATCCACAGAATGCTTGAAGCTTTCCATGCGTGAGTCGTGCTGAATGCATTCTTGCTGGCACGTCCCCCACACCATGCATGGGTTCGGGTTGAGGGGTGGCTCTGCTAAGAGCAATTTTTCCCAGAACTGGCTGAGAATTTGCAGTACGTTGCCTTTAACCTGAACTGCATGCCAACTGCACAGCGTGCCCGAATACTGAGCGCAGCAAGAGTTGGTCTCAAGTCTGGAACCGTCAGGTACTATGTAACTGTGGTGACTGTCGTACTGTTTGCCACGGATGTTGACCTCCTTATAGAGAGTTCGTCTCAACAAAGTTTGTTCCGCCATGGCTTCACAAATTGTGTTTGTAGCGTCCGAGATGTCGCCAGACTCTGTATTTCGTCAGGAAAGCATCAGTTCGAACAGAAGATACAGGTCGGTATCAAAACACATATGCCGGCGTTCTTTGCCCTTTGTAGTCGCTTTGCGGTCAGAACATGTTGACAGACCATGCGCATGTTATTCCAGATTTTTTTACACTTTTCAATACATTGAAGCTGCAAGCAGGGCATGAGGTTGTACTTCTGCTGCGAAGTCTTGAATGTTAAGCCGCAAGCTCATGACAACCCAAGGTTCGCCTGGATTGCCCGTCAAAATCCGGGTATATAAATTGATATATAAACTGTAAATTCATCGGCGCCTAGGGTGTGCGGCTCTGGGAAATGCCAACGCCCTGCTTTGCAAAGGCATTTCGTGCGGAAAACTGCTGTGTAAGCTGGCCCCAGTGGGGTGACGAAAGACGCCCGCAGAAACGAGCACTGTGCCCACCCCACATCTTGATATTGTAGCCCTCCTGGTGCCAGCAACTTCCGTTTCAATCCAGATCCTCAGTACACATTGTTCCTTCTAGCGGTAATCTACGACTGCAGGCCCTTCTACCCGTCGTCTAGACCGGGGGCAGTCTGGGTATGGCCATCACCCCAAAACCCATCTTGACTGCCCAAAGGGACACTGAAGTCGCTGTCGCAAATGCAAGGCAAGCAGTATATTCTGCTTCCTCCTTGCTTGGGTAGAACCTCACCCCATCCAGCAGCACAGGATCCCACTCCGAAGCATCATGCAGATGGTGGCAATCCACCACCGGCCACTGCAACACCTCCGGGATGTTGTGGCGCAAGCGCTGCCCGGTTGTCGGTCTCCACCCGCTCACGGTCTCGACCAGCCAACTTTTTTGCGTGGCAATCCGCTGCTGCAGGGCAGGGTCGCTGGACATTTTTCACATGATAGCAGCTTGACATAGCAGTCAAAGTTTGCACTGGCAGTGGTCTAAGCTCCCAAATCGATGATGCAACTGGGATTGCAAGCCACCAAAGATTCGTCACATAGGCTCTGGGTCCAAGTGGTTGCCCAAAAATTGGAGCGCTTAAATACCGCCCCCCAAAACCAACATTTTTGCGTTGTGGCTGCTTGGCCTACTCGCTGAACAATTTGAATCTTTTATCCTGTAGTTTACGCCTGATACCCGCGGGGGAAGAAGTACAGTTGAGACCTCCCCTCAAAAATCACAGATCCCTCAATGGCCGTTGATGTTCTTCCGGCCGATGATGACAAACTGCACCACATAGTAGGCTTCCTGCATCTTGCGGTCATTGACATCCAAGGCAGTCAAGTTTTGGTGCGGCTTGCCATTCTCCACATCCTTGAATCCAAAGGCACGCTGGCGATCTTGGCACGAAACAATTGTGGTCTCTTCTGCATGAAATCCAAATTGAGGGCTGGATTTTTCTACCGTGGCACTTCGGCCCAGGTGCGATGACGGGATAATTTGTAAGCAAACGCCAGTGTGCTCTGCAAAGTGGGCTGCCATTCTTCCCAATTTCAAGACTGTATGGATTTCAGGTGTTGGTCCAATGCAAATGCACGAACGGTTGAAGCATTGGCATTGCCAATGTGACAGCGTGCCTGTTCCAAGTTTTTCCTTCCTGCGTCATGGGCTCACAATGTCACGCCAAAAGCAAACTCCGTCCCTTGTGGTGGGATATGGGGAACGTTTAACCATGAGAAGTGTTTAATATGTGTGCCGTGTCCACTTTGCTTTATGGCCATGACTTCCAAAAACCCACCCCTGTACATAGGGGCTGGGGAGCACCTATGCAAAAGCTTATAGGAATTATAACCACTTCAAGCTTGTCACCTTTAGGCCAAAAAGTGCAGACAGCATGTGGAGCTTGCAACACTTGCATGGTGGTTGCGTATTCAGCTTGCAAGCCACGCGCTTCGGTGACCAATTCTACATGTAGCGTCGGTTGCGCGATAAGGCTTTAGGGACAGGTTGCCTGATACTTCCATCTCAAGCCCTGTGCTGTGCACAATGCAGTGGCTGGGGCATCAACATTTGGGTTTGGATGATAATTCCAGAAATATAGAGATCGGCAAGGCTTAAGTCCCTCACGGACGGGGTTGGGTCTTTGTTGATTCTTGGGAAAATTTGCATGACATCGTCAATATTAGCCGTTCCTCAATAAGCATTGCGCAGTTTGCCCACGCCCCACGGCCATGACTTCCAAAAACCCACCCCTGTATATAGGGGCTGGGGAGCAACTATGCAAAAGCTTATAAGAATTATAACCACTTCAAGCTTGTCACCTTTAGGCCAAAAAGTGAAGACAGCATGTGGAGCTTGCAACACTTGCATGGTGGTTGCGCATTCAGCTTGCAAGCCACGCGCTTCAGTGACCAATTCTACATGTAGCGTCGGTTGCGCGATAAGGCTTTAGGGACAGGTTGCCTGATACTTCCATCTCAAGCCCTGTGCTGTGCACAATGCAGTGGCTGGGGCATCAACATTTGGGTTTGGATGATAATTCCAGAAATATAGAGATCGGCAAGGCTTAAGTCCCTCACGGACGGGGTTGGGTCTTTGTTGATTCTTGGGAAAATTTGCATGACATCGTCAATATTAGCCGTTCCTCAATAAGCATTGCGCAGTTTGCCCATCTGGGGTTGAACAATGCAGACTTTAAGAGTTGGATGGTGGACACTAGGAATCAGCATCATGATTTGAGCGCAGCGAAGTCCACATCTCACCACAAGGGCGTGCTACCAGGCGCAAAAGGCCTCATAGATCTGCGTGGTAGAGGATTCTTGCAGGAAAGAGGCGGATTTCGGAGGCCAAAATGGTCAATATAGTCCATCAACTCTGGATAGTGTCTGGAAAAGCTACCGCACCTTTTTCTTTGTCCTGGAGGGACAAGTTGGCAACTGAGAGATCTTCCACAAGCGACGTCGAACTTTTTCGCACTTTCCTCAGACTCAGCCGCTGCCAGCAGAGCCAGAATCTCTTTCATGTTGTGTTTCCTGGGGCCGGATAAGCGCAAGTACGCACCTGAAAGCGAAAAACCAGGGAGGCAACCCTGGACCCGCTAAAGCGCGCTTGTTTGTTTATTCCAGATTTGGCTTCGGACAGGGGATCAGCAGGAGGTGTAGATGATGTAGTCAGCAGTGAGAGTTTTCAAGAATTACAGGTGCTCCTGCATATTCATATTGTTTGCTTTCCCGACAGAGGCAACTGGTGCGACATGTTTGAACTTTTGTTGAGTTTATATCTTTCAAGAAACACATAGTCTTGTTTCAAAATGTAGGTGCTTAGCAGCATTGGCCTTCAGCCCTGCGTTTGATCACGCACCTTGGTCCGCAATGCAGGTTCATCGAAATCAAACCAATACGGCATGAAAGAGGATGCGCCTGTGACTGCCTGTCGTTGCCATGTGCAGTCCAACGTGCCCTGCACGTTCGCAGGAATCCTTGCCATTTATTCTGTTTTCCATTGAAACCAAATCGAATCAGCATGAAAGAAGATGTGCCCAACTGCGCTGTGCACAGAATCCTGCGCAGCAATCCTTGCCATTCCTATGATCCGCATTCTCGATCTCCGCCAAAGCGCGAATGATTCCGAGACTTCCGCTATTGCCTCTCAGATCAGAAGCCTTCCGACACGGGCATCAGCTGACCCATAAGAGCATTTCAGCGCTACGTTGTGTGCCCAGTGCAGCTTGGGATATTTGGAAGGTTGTGCGCCTCAGTTTGAAAAAAGGGTTGTGTGAGTAGGGGGAGGATTTGAAGGTTGAAGCCTCGAGAATTGGAATTTAGAAACTGCTGTGTTGGGACTCGAAGGGTTGAGTCGGGTGGGAGTCTATGGGAGCCTTGCGTTTCTTTAGCGTAGCGTTTGTCGACAAGGTTTGGCTGCTAGCATACTCCTCTCGACATGATTTCCTCCAGCGTCCCTCAGCACAGGGTGCGACACTGATAACTCCTTGCCTGTTTTACACAACTTACTTTCTGACGTTGGTGAACGTGTACTAGACTTGTAATGTCTTGTATTCTTTTTGCAAAAGTTTACATCTCAGAATCTTAGATGTTGTTTCTCTGCTTGCATCTTTTTGTATAGGCACTCCATCCCAGATCGGACGTGTTGAGGCCCCATATGTAAGCTTTCTTTGGGAGCGCCCAACGCCTATACAGTTCAAGTGGAAAGTATATGAAAGTATTTTATATAGGTCGAATAATTCATGTTGACAAATGATATTTGTCGTGTCATGTCTTCACGCTCATTTTGATTTTGCAATATGTGACTTCTGTGTGCTTTTGTTTGTCATTTGGTATATGTTCGGTGTTTGCTTGTTACTATTTTCTGTGAGATAGTGCAATAACGTAGTGCGCAAGATGTTCATGTACAGTTTTAGGGCATGAAAAGCATGCACGACACAAGAACACCTTGCGTATTCTTACCGCAGCGCTTGAGCCTCAACGGGAAAAACACACCGTTTTCACACTGGCAGCGGAGCGACTCGGCTCTTTCCCCAGGGACGCGTTTAGCTTAGCCCTGGGGCCCCGATACTCTGACGGCAAAGCCCGTTCCTTCATTGGGACACCCAACCTGCACAAATCTCCATGGACCGTTGGACTACTCCTGTAGCAATCAAAACCCCTTGTACCACTCCCGGTGGATAAGGAAAACCAAAGTCACTTGTACCACTACCGTGGACAAGAGAGAGCAAAAGATCAGTCGTGAACTATGGCAGTCACTTCGCTAAGGTATGTGCCGCACAATGGTGTCGAAGTAGAGTTCAACAAACAAGGGCTTATGATCTTCAACGGCAACACTGCTGACTTCCATGAATGGGAATTTTGGTTGCAGGCACATTACCAGGCGACCAAGCAAGATGAAAGATCAGAACTCGGTAGTAAAGTCTTGGAAAGTCTGCGCGGAGATGCTTTTCTCATCGCAGAGGAACTTGGAATGAGTGTGTTGAAACAATCTGATGCCGCAGTACAACTCATCGAAGCTG